ACACAACGAAAAGCGACGCTGAGGTCCTAGGTCCAGCCCCCCCTCAGGGTCACCCCCCCTTTGTCAGGAGGGACAAAAGCGCACAGACACGATTCATCGTCGGCTCCCAGAAAACATGGGAAAATATGGGAAGTGTGGGGGAAGACAAAAAGCCAGAACACATGGGAAACTATGGGGCATCCTGTCCTTTGTGTGCCTTCACTTGTGTGCCCCAGGGCCCCTTCCCTGTGGCGGATCCCGGGGGGAGCAGCGGGCACGAGCAGGGGCGGCCGCGGGCGCAGGGCCCCCTAAGGCAGGCGCGCGTCGCGCCCCGTCCCCCCTCCAGGCGGAGTGCCGGCCTCGCGTGCACCGGGCCCCCCCTCGCCCTGAGTCAGGGCCCCGAATCATCAGGGGCAGCTCGGGTCTGTCAAGGCCCAGTGAAGCGACCCCCCCCCCCCCTCAAGTTTTCGTTCAGTGCGTCGCCCGAGCGTCGCCCGTGCGCCGGCCCTGGTTTGCGTCTCTGTCCCGAATCCCGGCCTCCGGATAACTCGGGCGTCCAGGGCCCCGAATCATCAGGGGTAACTCGGGTCAGGGCTACCTCGGGGTTCGCTTTCCGGGATTCCGAACCCGAGTTACCCCGGGCCCGAGTTGCCCCGGATAACTCGGGCGTCCAGGGCCCCGACTCATCAGGGGCAGCTCGGGTCAGGGCTAACTAAGTCGGATTCGCTTTTCGGGATTCCGAGCCCGCGTTACCCCAGGCCCGAGTTGCCCCGGATAACTCGGGCGTCCAGGGCCCCGAATCATCAGGGGCAGTTCGGGTCAGGGCTAACTCGGGTCCGCTCTAGCCCGCGTTACCCCGGGCCCGAGTTGCCCCGGATAACTCGGGCGTCCAGGGCCCCGAATCATCAGGGGCAGCTCGGGTCAGGGCTAACTCGGGTTCGCTTTCCGGGATTCCGAGCCCGCGTTACCCCGGGCCCGAGTTGCCCCGGATAACTCGGGCGCCCAACTGAGTCGGGCGTGTGCCTCCACGGTCGGCCCAGCTTTTGGTAGGTCGACCCTGCCAGCTCCATGCATCCTCGTGCCCTGTGCCTCGCGGCGCGTGCCTGCTTGCACTCCTGCGGCGACGCGGCCCCCCGAAGGGTCTTGTGTCCTCTCGCGTGTCCTGTCCAATCAAGGCCGCGACTGCACAGGGGGGAGGTTCAAGAATAGTAACAAAAATGTCTGGGGATGACTTTTGTTCCATGCTTTTGCTGTGTTCTACGTGTCTTCCAGAAGCCGCCTGGAGGGGGACATGCCCGACCTGACCCTCGCCCTCTGTGGCCCCCGTGTCTCTCGGGAGGGCAAAATCCACACAGACAATGAATCGTCGACTCCCAGGAAAACAAAGGGACACGAAAGTCCAACAAAATACAGGAAAACGAAAGTCCAACAAATACTGGAAAATATGGGACATCCTGGGATTTGTGTAGGTGTATTTGTGTGTCCCTGGGCCGCTGTAGTGCCTCATGTCCCCATCTTTGAATAGCCAGCCCCCGCCTCCTGCCTCCTGGCTCATCGGCCTCACGGGCGCGTGGATAGGAACAGTCGTCGTGCGTGGCGCAGCGCGGCGCGCGGAGTTGTAGTCGAAACGAGTGGCACAGGAGAGGGACATTGAGTAGCTAGAACCGGGACAGCTGTCCCGAGCTGACGCGATCATTGAATCACATCGGCAGCTGACGTGGTAGCATCGCGATGATGCGAGCGCGGTGTTTCAGGAGGGAAGAAAGACAGGCACAAACATGTGTCGATTCCAGGGGAAACGCGGAAAATATGGGAAGTGGAGGGAGAGACGAAAATCCACAACATTTAAAACGTATAGGCGATCCTGGGGTTTCTGTCAACTGACTCATGTGTCCCTGGGCCCCCTTCAGTGTTGCGGGCACACGAGCTTGTGCAGAAGAGCATGTCCTGGTATGCGCGGCGAGGGTGCGCCACGGGAGGCGGGGCCCCGGCTGCGACCAGCAGCGGCAGCGAAGAGCGGGCGGAGGCGCAAAGAGAGGGGGAGAAACAGGCTGTATGGGTAATTACGCGTCGGTCTCAATAAGTAGGCAAAACCATGAAGCAGGAGGGCGGATGAAGTATGTTGGGTTCGGGGCCACCCAAGGAACGACACAGCAACAAAAACACGTATCCGTTCTTGTGTAGGAGGAAGGCGTTTGAAATGGATTGGGATCTGGGAAGGATGCCCACTTTCAACGACCAGGTTTAGGGTTCAGGGTTTTGCCGTTCCCTTCGCCCGTTTCCTCATTTGTCGGCCTCCTGGGAGGCCCTCGTCGCCTCCGCTGGATTCGCGCCGGAATTCTGGTCAGAACGCACGCACCCCGGGAGAGGTCTTGCGAGTAGCGGCATCGATACCTTTTGGTCTTGCCAGTCCCGAGGGACACGGGCCTTGCGATGCTTTCAGCGTTTTCGCGTGCTCGGGTCTCCCCGGGCCCCACGACACTCGGACAGCGATTCATGCAGGATGCGGAAGAGCCGGCCCCGGGGGACCCCCCCCCCCAGGGTCTGGGACCCGCTTCCTTGGAGAGGAGGCGCCTCGGAGGCGCCTCGATGTATAACCCTAGGGAGCAAACAGTACCACCCGGGCGATACCACAACAGGAAATACATTAAATCATGCTTTTCAGCGGCCCCCCTCTGGCCATATCATTCACACCGAAAGTTTCTCTGACGGTAGGACCCCACATAAGAGTCTGTTTGGCTTGCCTGGGGATCTCCTGCCCCCTCGCTTCTCCCACCTACTCCTCCTTTTCCTCCTGCCTCCTCCCCCTCCTGCCTCAACCCCTGCCTCCTCCTCTTGCCTCCTCCCCTCCACCACTTCCACCTCCTCCTCCTCCTTTTCCTCCACCTCGTTATGCCTCCTCCCCCATTCCCCATGCTCCTCCTGCCTCCTGCGTCCTTCTCCTGCTGCGTTCCTTCTCCCTCCTCCTCCTCCTCCTTCTTCTCTCCCTTCTCCTCCTCCTACTCCTCCGCCTCCCCTCTCCATCTTCCTCTTCTCCCTCTCCCTCCTCCGCCTCCTCCTCCTCCTCCTGGGGATGCTTGGGGCCTCTTGAGGCCTCCTGGAGCCTTCTAGGCCTCCCGGGACATCCTGGGGCCTCCTAGAGCATTCTTCTTCCTCCATGTCCTCCTCGTCCTTCTCGCTCTCTGCTTCCTCCTCCTCCTCCTCCTCCTTCTTCTTTTCCTCGTCCTGCATACTCCTTCTCCTTTGTCCTCCTCGTGCGGAACACGACCCAGAGGAAACGCACGACGTGCGTCCCAGGGGATACGCGCCGGAGGACGACCCAAAGGAAACGCGCGCCGGAGGACGACGCGCAGGAAACACGAGAGGTGCGGGCCCCATAGGGACAAGGGTTCCCGCCTGAGCCTTCCTCACAGTTCGCTCACAGTCGAGGTTCCCGCTTGAGACTTCCCCAGTAGTCAGGCGTCAGGAGCCCAAAAGTGACGACCCTTACAGGTTCGAGGATGACCCGTTCGGATTACCAACACGAAGTGCGGACCCCGTCGGGAAGGGGCTCCCGCCTGAGACTTCCTCACAGTTCACTCACAGACGAGGTTCCCGCCTGATAGTTCCCCCAAGGTTACGACAGCTACAGGCTCGAGGACGACCCGCTCGGATTACCAACGTGAAGCGCGGGCCCCATAGGGAGGGGGTTCCTGTCTGAGACTTCCTCACATTTCTCTCACAGACGAAGCTCCCGCCTGATTTTTCCTCATATTCAGGCCTCAGTGACGACAGTTTCAGGTTCGAGGATGACCCGCTCGGATTACCAATACGAAGGGCGGGCCCCATAGGGAAGGGGGCTCCCGCCTGAGACTTCTTCGTTGTTCGCTCACAGACGAGGTTCCCGCCTGATAGTTCCCCCAGATCCAGGCCTCAGGAACCCAAGCGTTACGACACATGATCGAGGATGACCCGTTCGGATTACCAACATGATGCGCGGGCCCCATAGGGAGGGGGCTCCCGCCTGAGACTTCTCACCGTTCACCCACAGACGAGGCTCCCGCCTGATACTCCTTCCATATTGTGGCCCCAGGAGCCCAAACGTGACGACACTTTCAGGATCTGGATGACCCGCGCGGATTAGTAACATGATGTGCGGGCCCCCTGGGGGGGGGGTCCCGCCTGAGTCACAGTTCGCTCATAGACGAAGGTTCCGCCTGATCGCTCCCCCATATTCAGGCCTCAGGAGCCCAAAAGTGAAAACAGTTACAGGATTTGGAGGACCCGCTCGTATTAGTAGCATAAGCTGCGGGCTCCATAAGGAAGGGGTTCCCACTTGAGATTTCCTCGCAATCCACTCACAGACGAGGCTCCCGCCTGATAGTTCCCCCGTATTCAGGCATCAGGAGCCCAAAAGTGACCCTTACAGGTTCGAGGATGACCCGTTCGGATTACCAACATGAAGTGCGGGCCCCAAGGGGAAGGGGAACCGCCCGAGACTTCCTCACAGTTCACTCACAGACGAGGCTCCCGCCTGATAGTTCCCCCAGATTCAGGCCTCAGGGGCCCAAGCGCGACGACACTTACATGATCGAGGATGACCCGTTCGGATTGCCAATATGAAGGGCGGGCCCCATAGGGAGGGGGGTCCCGCCAGAGACTTCCTCACAGTTCACTCACGGACGAGGCTCCCGCCTGATATTTCCTCAAGTGTGGGTGTGTGAGTGAGTGAGTAAGTGACTGAGTGAGTGAGTGAGTGAGCGAATGATGATTATGATGATGACGATGATGGTGATGATGCTGGTGATGATGATGATGATGAGGATGATGATGATGATGGATGATGATGATGATGAGGAGGAGGACGGTGATGATGATGAGGAGTGTGATGATGAGTGAATGAGAGTGTGATTGAGGAGGTGCTGGGTGATGAGGAGGAGAGGGAGGGGGTGAGGTTTTAGACTTCCTGCGCGCGGTGTCCAGAGAAAACAATAGTCCCTTTTTGGATGTGGGCAACAAACTATTTTCAGCGCCGCCCTCCAGTCAATATCCCTCCAGCAGAAAACGCAACACATGAGAAATACTTACTTTCGCCAAATGCTTGAGCCAAATGGCTCCTTCGGTTCCCGCCGCCCCCCCTCCGACCGCGCGAGCACCCTGGCCGCAATGGGGGGAGCCCCGGCGTGCTGCGTCTGCCTCGCCACTTCCGCGCTGGCGCAGGGGGTCTTCGGTCAACCTCGTGCTGTGCTTCGTCGTTGGGATCGCGCTTGGCGTAGGGGTCGCGTTTTCCGACGAGGAGAGTGCCGCCCTACGGGGGCTGGTGATGTCCACTGGCCTCGTCGTCATCGTGACCGCTATCGTCATGTCCGCGTCCCGGTTGTGTGCGCCGTGCTGCTGCGAGGAGCTGGAGGAGGCTGGCCCGTGCTGCCCGCGCAACTGCTTCCTGCACTTTGACACGCCGCTGTACGTGTACGCGATGGTTTCTCTGATGACCGTAAGTTTTGACCAGGTCACTCCCATGCTGCAGCACCTCAGGCTACTGAGGCTGATTCTGCCTTGCCTGTACCTCGCCTCGGTCGTCTGTGCAATCGTCAAGCTGTGCGTCATGAAGCAGCTGTGCTGCCTAGGCCTTCTGCCGAAGGTCGATTCGCCCACCACCCCATTGCCCAGGGACGCCCCCGTCATCCTCGGCCAGCCCGTCTCCGACGGGCCCCCCAAGGCCGCGACCTGAGCCCCCTGTGGCTGGCCTGCCGCCGCGGCGGCTCCGCGGCAACCAGCCTTTTTTGTTGCCGCCGCCGCCACCGGCCGCCGCCGCTGGCCCGAGAGTTCCGCCTCGGACGTCGGCGGGCACCGCCGCGGGCACCTGGCCCGTCGGGCCGCCGCCCGGCAGGCCAAGCGTCGGCGCTGCACCTTGTCCGCCGCGACACCCGCGAGGCGCTCTCGTGATCTGCCCGCCGGCCCCCGCCCACCACCCCTCTACAGGGGCTGTTGACTCACACGTTTGCCATGGCCAACCTGGGCGTAGGTGCTATAGCCACCCTTGGCAGCGCTGCCCTGCCCAGCCATATCACTGTTCTGCACTCTTTCACCAGCCAAGACCGGTACATAATGCATCCAGTCTGGTTCAGACAGTTCAGATTGACTCGTCGCACGTTTGTTTCTGTCTCAGTCGGCAGGTATGCACCTGCTCTTCATTCTTGTGTTCTTTTCTGACGCACTGCCCGATGCGACTGGCCCTTTTGGCAGGCACCCGTGCAATACCCCACATCTGGGGCGAGGTCAGCCGTCGTCCTGGCGTTCTCTGCACCTGGGACAGCTGGCCTCGTCGTCCTTGTGTGGGTGGTAGATTTTTCCCGGAAAGGGCTTCAGGCCCAGGGTTCTCTTTTAGTGTGTAAACATGTCCCCGGTGCCCAACTTGAAGGATGCCGGCGGATTCTTTCCCTGGTAAATATCGAGGTCGAAGGAGGCCGGCGGATTAAAATTTGAGGATGTCTCAGGCGAAACGCTTGTTTTTGAAATCCCGATCGATAAATCACAGGGTGCGGGACACCTCAGCACGACCACACCCCCAGCATGACCACACCCCAGCACGACCACGCCCAGCACGACCACGCCCCAGACCACGCACGACCACACCCCAGCACGACCACACCCCAGCACGACCACACCCCAGCACGACCACACCCCAGCACGACCACACCCCAGCACGACCACACCCCAGCACGACCCGATAAACCACAGGGTGCACGACCACACCCCAGCACGACCACACCCCAGCACGACCCCACCCCAGCACGACCCCACCCCACGCCACGCACGACCACACCCCAGCACGACCACACCCCAGCACGACCCGCACGACCACACCCCAGCACGACCACACCCCAGCACGACCACACCCCAGCACGACCAGCACGACCCCACCCCAGCACGACCACACCCCAGCACGACCACACCCCAGCAGGACCCCACCCCAGCACGACCCCACCCCAGCAACCCCAGCAAGACCACACCCCAGCACGACCACACCCCAGCACGACCTCACCACAGCACGACCACACCCCAGCACGACCACGCCCCAGCACGACCACGCCCCAGCACGACCACCCCCAGCACGAGCACGACCACCCCCAGCACGACCACCCCCCAGCACGACCACACCCCAGCACGACCACTCCCCAGCACGACCACACCGCCTTGGTTGAGTGGTTGCCTGTCGTCGTGGAATGTTTCGTGGGGTGTCTCGTGGAATGTTTCGCGGGGTGTCTCGTGGAATGTTTCGTGAGGTGTCTCGTGGAATGTTTCGTGAGGTGTCTCGTGGGATGTTTCGTGAAGTGTCTCGTGGGATGTTTCGCGAGGTGTTGCCCAGTTGGGTATCGTGAAAACGTGTCCATGCTCCACATGTCTATATCCCTTTCCGGGTTCGTGGGTCCATCATGTTCTGCCTTTATGTTCTCGAGTTTCGCTTTTTGGCCCCAGGCCGATATGTCCTGGCACTCTCCAGGGGACGGTTCATGTTTTCTTTTTAAATATAAACAACGCATCAGTTTGCCATGCCCAACTTGACGAGGGCTGCCAATCTAGGCTTGAGGTCGGAGTAGATGGGGTCGGAGGATCGCGCCGCATCGCCGATGCATCGGCGATGCATCGGCGATGCGGCTCGATGTGGACCCGATTTTCTCCACGCTGGCGTCGCCGATGCATCGCCGATGTCGCGATCCTCCGACCCCATCTGCTCCGACCCCATCTGGGTGGCCGCGAACCGAGATGAGGGCAGCGTGCGACTTGGCCATCGAGATCATGAGGCGCAATCCGAACAAGCGCTGGCACTCTTTGGATTGAAGAAAAAATGCTTACTTTCGCCGCTCGCCTGGGACATGGCCAATCGAGGAACGTCGACAGGACATGATAGTGAGAACTATTCAGAAATTGCCTCCAGACTTCGGGGGGCCCGTGGAGACGTCCTTGGGGTGGAGTGAGAGAAAGAAGGTGGAGGTGGTGGAGGAGGAGGAGGACGACGAGGAAGAGGAGGAGGACTCTGCGGTTGATTCGGTTCCGGTCTGGCCCCGGTTTCGGAAACGTTTTAGTTTCTTCCGATGGGTGTTATTGATTCCCCAAACAGTGCTTGCACGTGGAGGTTTTTTTATGTTCAAAGGAACCGGGCCGTGTCTTCGGTCTGGCGGTTTTGTGACCGCCGTCGCCGCCCCGTCGCCGCCTCGTCGCCGCACGCTGTTTGGTCCGTGCCTTCGGCCTGGCGGCCGTGTGCCCGCCGTCGCCGCCCCGTCGCTGCCTCGTCCCCGCCCATTTTCTGGGACCGTGCGTCGGTCCGGCGGCTATGTCGCCGCCCCGCCGCAGCCTCGTCGCTTCCGCGCTTTGCACTGCATGCGCCTTGCAGTTGAAAACCCAGGCAGCCTTCAAGAGGCCGGCCGGGCTTCTGAGAAGCGTCGCCGCCCCAGGCCACGGCGGCAAGAGAAGGCGGCGGGGACCGAAGAAGAAAGAACATAATCCGCGGTTAAGGACGGAGGAGGCGGAGAGAGGAGGAGGAGGAGGAGGAGGAGGAGGAGGAGGAGGAGGAGGAGGAGGAGGAGGAGGAGGAGGAGGAGGAGGAGGAGGGGGAGGAGGAGGAGGAGAAGAAGAAGAAGGCGGCGGGGCTGTGTTGCGTTCCGCGCGGATTTCTTGGATCCGCGCTGGGCCCCCCCCCCGGCGGCGCCTCCGGCGCCGCCCCCGGCGCGCTCCGCGCGCCAGGGAGAGGGGTCCAGCGCCGATCCGGGAGAGGGAGAGGGTCCGCGCGGACATCCGAGTTTTGATATTTATGTCATTGGCCGTACCCCTAAAGAGATGACGGCGGGGAGGCGGGGTCTGGCGGGAGCGGCGGATGGGCGACGCCTCCTGACCACCTCGCTTATCCGGAGCCCTCGCCGAGCGGGGGGGCCTAGGACTGGTGTGTACACGCCCTCCTGGCTGTGTCCAGGAGATTCCGTGCCGTTTCACCGACCCTTGTCCCCCCATCCCCATCCCCATCCAGACCCCCACCATCTCTCAGTCGAGCGCAAATATAGATCAAGGGGGCGTGGATTGGCGACGGGTCCCGTTTCCATTGGAAATCGCGGACTTCTCGGGAGCTCCACAGGCGACGGGGTGCCCTCCCTAAAATGGCGGCCGGCGCCGCCTCGTTCGGCGGCGGAGATCCGCGATTCTATGCCGCCACGCTGGTTCCGGGCAGGCTGTGCTGCCCGGCGGAAGGGGACGAGGAGGGGAGAAGCAGGCAGACGACGACGAACGCCCAGGCGGGAGGCCAGGGCCGGCGGGGCGGGCGGGCAGGCAGAAGACGGGCCAGGCGGAGACAGCAGGCAGGGAGCAGGAGGAAAGGAAAGGGAGGGAAGCAACGATCAGAAGCGAAGGGAGGGGGAGGAGGGGGAGGAGGACAAGGAGGAGAGAAAGCAGCGGCCGCAAGCAGACAGGCCGGGCCAGGGGCCGGGAAAGAAGAGCCGCCCGCGACGAGGCTGCGGACACTACGGCGGCGACCTGGGCGGGGTGGCCGCCCGAACCCAGCGCGATGCGGCTTGGTGGGGATTGCCCTCTGCGGGATCCATGCCCCGCCGGGGAAAGGCCGGGCGGCGCGTGGGAGGGGTCGCCGGCGCGACGTTGGCGAAAGGGCGAGGGGGGCGCCCGCGCTGCCCAGCAAGGGCGGGGGGGGGGGGGCGGGGTGCGCTAGGCAGCGCAGGGGGCACCTCACACGGCGTCTGCCGTGGAGGCCGCCGTGGCCGCGGCCAGGCGGGCCGCTGCCACCCCCGCCCCTCCAGACAGGGTCTGAAGGCGCCGCAACACCGCCCGCGCGCTCTCCCTGTGCAGGGAGACGGAAAGTCGCCGGGCATGTTGGTCCGCAACCAGTGCGGCGTCTTCCCCCGTGGCGTCAGCCACCCGCTTGGCCAGGACCCCGAAGGCCCTGCGTGCCTCGCGGCCCCACCCGCCGCCGTGGGCTTCCACCACCATGGGGAGGAAAGTGAAGCCCTGTGCCGCGCAGAGCCGCGCGGTGTCCTGGTGCTGCCTTTTGAACTCCTCGTACCGCTCCGTCGCTGCGCTTGACGAAGCGGCCGACGCGGCGAGGAGATCGGCGCGCAACCCTGACGTGGCGGCAAAGTCCCAGGCGGCCGCCGTGCCGTTGCGCCACCGCGGCAGGTAGACGTCGGCAGGGCGGCGGCCGTTGTCGTCCACCTGGGACCCGCCCTGCTCGCCCCCGGGGGTGGCCTCCCCGGCGGGGCGCGCGGGTAGCAGCCCCGGGCGCTCCAACTCCGCCCCGGCGTGGCCGGCGGCCAGGGCGTCGAAGAAGGCCTGGTTGCGCAGGGCGTTGTGGCGTTTGGTCCGGTCGCCGCGGCAGGCGCAGACCAGGGCGTGGTCGCAGAAAACGCCCATCACCTCGCCACAGGCTGGGCAGAAGCACTCCTCCTGCAGGAGCTGGACTCGCAGCCGCCTCTGCAGGCCGACCTGCATGAGGCCGCGCGGGAAGGCGGTGCCGGTGGCCTCGCAGGGCGGCGCCTGGAGCCACGCGGCCGCGCCTGGGGCTTGCACCAGAGAGAGGTGCGCCTTGCCGGCCAGGGTGGAGCCCGCCAGAAGTCCGTCGAGCGAGGCGCTGTCCACCGCGTCGGAGAGGGCCTTCTGGTTGCCGTGCTGCGCGTGGTCGAACACCACCCGGTCGGCGTCCCGCACGACTGCGTTGTGGGCCTGCACCGCAGCCGCCAGGCTACCTCCGTCGCGGTCGGGGTTGTTGGAGTAGCCGGGGTAGAGCTGCCGACAGAGGTCGGTGCTCTTCGCTCTGGAAGCGATGTAGGCGGCGGCGGCGTGCTTCGCGGCAGAGCGCAGGCCAAGTCCTCCCTTCCTGAGCTTTAGCTGAGCCTGCTGCCAAGAAGCGTCGGAGGGCGAGCAGCCGCTCAGTTGCTCAAGGCAGGCCCGGACAGCGTCGTCCATGGCCAGCAGGGAGGCGGCGTGCGCGGTGGGCGGCACCACGCGCGCGGAGTAGCCCAGCTTGCAGAAGGAGGCGCACTGGCGCAGGAGGTGCAGCGCGACCTGCGCGTTTTCGAGCTCCCCCAGAGCTTCCAGCAAGTCGGTGGCGCTCGCGACCCGCTGCTTGGTGTGCTCCGCGCAGAAGTCCGCGTCTCCCACTGGCGCGCCGAGCAGCTCGAAGCTGCGATCGGTGCGGAGGCGGAAGCCCGGCGGGAAGCCGTCCAGAGACACGTCGGAGGCGTCTCCGCCAGTGGGGACCACCTCACACTTGCCCGGGCCGGTGCTCAGCTGGAGGCCCACCGCGGCAAGGCTGGCCACGAGCAAGTGGAGGAGGCGCGCGACGGCCGGCGCGTCGCCCGCGAGGCAGCCGTCGTCCAAGTAGAAGAAACTCAGGTCGACGGCGCCGTCGGCGCCGTGGCGCGGCGCGCGAAGGGCGGCCTCGGCGGCGCGCTGTAGTGCTAGGGAGAACAGTAGGGGCCCCAGGGGGTCGCCCTGCTGCACCCCGCACTCGGAGCGGACTGTCTGTTTGCCCAGGAAGAGAGTTGACGGGCGGGAGTAGCACCAGTCGGCCCAGGGTGCCAGCCCGGGAAACTCTTCGTGGACCGCGCGGAGCAGAGCCTGCCTGTCCAGGGTGTTGAAGGCGTTGGACAAGTCCAGCTTCACAAACACCTTTCCCCGGTCCCCGAGGTGGCGGGTCCACCACTGGCGCGCGACGTGCACCGCCGCCTCGGTGCCGCCAGGGACCGCGACGCCGATCTGGAGGGGAGCCAGTCGGTCGCGCGCGGCGTCGGCAACCTCGTGGCAGAGGCACTTGCCGACGAGGCGCCGGAGCACCTCCCCGACGGCAACAGGGCGCAGGCCTCCGTCCTTCTTCGGCAGGGCCACGAGAGAGGCGCCCGCGAAGTACTCGGACACGGTCGTCGGGGCCTGCCCCCTGGCGCAGAGGTTGACAAGGTTCCGGAGCTGGTCGGCGACCTCGTCCCTGTGGGCCGCGTTGAGCAGTGCGTCTTTGAGGTGTTGGGGTCGGAGGCCCGTTGGCCCGGCGGCCGAGCCCCAGGGGAAGGCCCGCGCCTCCCCACGGACCGCGCCCCCGTCCATCTGCAGGGCAGCAGCCGCGTGGACAGCCGGAAGGCTGGCGGGATCCACGGCTTGGCGGCTGCGCGGGTGCTTCCGGCTCATCTGTTCAACGACGTCGGGGGTGACCTCCACGGGCGGCTCGCTGGTCAGAGCCGAGCAGCTCTTGGAGTACTGGGCGTCTGCGGCGAGCTGCACGCACCTCTCCGCTCGATGGGAGGCTGGCGAGGCGTGCTTGGCAGCGCGAGCCTCGACTGCCTCGGCCCACAGGGAGGCCCGCTCCCCGTCCAGCCAGCGCCGGCAAAGCGCCTTGGTCTGCGCTTCGCCGGCCGCCCTGCTGCCTCGGCCGCCACGGGTGTGAGGGCGCAGGACGCATTTCGGGAGCATCGCAAGCTCTGTCCACGCAGCCTCGGAGTTGTTGTGCACGGTCTGGGCCACCGTCTGCACTAAGCACCGTGCCCAGAGGTCCCGGGCGCCCTTCGGGACGTAGCGCTTGGTGGTGGAGCGCTTGGAGAAAGGCGGCACCGGCCGCATTTGTTGGAGTGCACCTCCCCCGATCCATGGATTTGGCGACCTCGCGCAAAATCCATGGATCGCTAACCCATGTGCGCGCATCCCTGAATTTCAGCACCAGCTGGGGATGCACCCTTCGAAATCCGCGGAGAGCAGCTTAGATCCCCATCGGGAGGGGCAAGTCTGCCAGTAGCGCCTAGGCCACGCCGATGGGGACAGGGGTCGGATCAACGGCTCTCA